AATGATTCATTGTTTACGACCCTGTAAACACTAATTGCTAGGGTCACAATTCATAGTTAAGACTGACAACACTATCGTAAGTCACTTCCTCTCCCAGCCAAAATTGCTACCAAGCAGGTGAGATGGTAGGAGTTCTTGGCTGATTTTGATTTCTCCTTCAAGCACAAAGCTAGAAAGGTGAACCATGAGGCAGATGCCCTTAGTAGGAAGGCTAAGTTCATAACTCTCAAGGTGATCATCCTAATGATAGCCAGCAAAGTGAACATAGATATTCGTAATCTTATTGAAGAAAACTTGCATTGAAATCCCCAAGTAATCACCATTATGAAATTTATGGAAAGTGGAAAGTCAAAATACTTTTTGGGTGGAAAATAGACTCCTAATGACAAAGAACCACACATATTTGTTCTAAGAGTGGGAAAGTTGAGGCAGAAGTTGATGTGGGAATGTCACGAGACCCCTTGGGCATGACATCTAGGTTGACTGCAAATCGTTACTCTACTGAAACAAGGTTTCTATTAGCCTCCTATGCGCAGGATGTAATAGATTATACACAAAAACGTGCCTTATTTGCCAACAAGATAAAGTGGATAAACAAAGATCAACAGGAATTCTCAAACCTTGACTAGTATCGACCAAACTGTGGGAAAGTATGTCTCTAGACTTCATAGTAAGACTTCCAAAAATATGAGATATGATAGCGATCCTAGTAGTGGTGGACCATTTCTCAAAGTACACGAAATTCATCCTAGTGCAGAAGTTTGGTTCTGCAGAAGAAACAGCTTGTACGGTTTTTAAACATGTGGTAAAATATTAGGGTGTTCCAAAGAGCATTATTAGTTACAAGGATCCAAGGTTTACTAGTTTCTTCTAGAAGGAGTTTTTCAAGCTATTAGGGTCAAAACTCAACATCTTTTCTAGTTATCACCTACAAACAGAATACTTCAATGGGTTGCTAGAAAAATATCTACGACATTTTGTACTAGTGAACCAGAAGAATTGGCTCAACCTACTAGATGTGGCTCAACTATGTTTCAACTCGTAGAAAAGATCAACCACTAATAAAATCACTTTCAAAGTTGTCACTAAATAGCAACCTGCACTTTCTCATGCCTTAGTGGAATCATATAGCGAGAAAAGTCCTCAAGCATTCAACTTTGCTAAAGATTAGAGACAAAATACTGAAATCGCTAAAGCCTATTTAAATAAAGCCTCCAGTCTCATGAAAAAATGGGTCAATAAAGGGAAAAGGGAGCAACACTTTAAGGTGGGAGACCTGAGCTAATGAAGTTGGTTCCTGAACAACTCTGATTCCTAAAGAAAAGAGATTGAATACTAGTGCAGAAGTATGAAGGTCCAATAGCAATTATAGCCAAGGTAGGAAAAACTTCCTACAAGATTGATTCGCCCAAGTGGATGAAGGCACACCCCTTGTTTCACGTCAGTAACCTAAAGTCGTTCCATACAAATCCAAAAGATTCAAGCAAGAATCAAGCCACCAGAGCTACCATCAACACTAAGCCACCATTACAACGTAAAGTAAAGGAGATTCTAGCAAGGAGGATGATGATAATCAATTGAATACCAGCACGGAGTATCGAGTGAGATGGGAAGGTTTAGGCCAGATGAAATCACCTAGGTGGAGGAAGTCAATCTCTGCATCTTCAAGCAAAAGATTGAAGAATTTCAAGCCAACCAGTCTACGGGGAAGTTGACAAATCGAATAAGGGAAGATGTCATGAGCTAACCTTATATAGGGCCATGACAAGGTATAATTCCCTAGAAGTTAAAGTCCTTTATACTTCCAAAGGAGATGTCCTCTTTTCAAATATTGTAATGGCACTTAGTGACACTTGTAAAAATTCTTGTTAAGTTTTTACGGGGAAGACCTTTTAGGAAAGGGATGTCCTCATCTCAAGCACTTCAATGTCTATTAGTGGAATACTTGTAAAATCTCTTAAACTCTTTATAAAGGTTGAGCAGTTAGAGAATTGTTGGGCTACTTCACTAGTAAAGGTATGTTTGTCGTGAATCATCAAGGACTACTCCTAAGGCTCGATGATGGTTATGTCTAGGTCCTTTTGTACTTATTTTCATATTAATAAAATATTTTTCTTTATATGGCTCCAGTGATTGTGTATATGGCCTTCAGTATGCCCTATGATTTTAATGTGCATTGCCTTAGTCTAATTTGTTGCTATTGTTGATGTTTGATCAAATATAAATGAGTTATTGGCTGGCTTATGTGGATGTGGAAGCTTCCATTTAAGCACTACATGGACTACCGTATACTTAAGCGAAGGAGTGTAGTTCGTGGCACTCAGCATTGCGGCCATGAGTAACTCAAGGTTGCGGCTCTAGTCGCTATACTACTTTGTGTAGAACTACATCCGTCTATCATATTCTAATGTGATTTTCACCTAGATTTAGTTCAAACTAGAAAAAGTGGACGTGAAAATTGTAGCCTATTCTTTTAGCTTTCTAATGGATTAAGAATCTCATTAGTTGGATTTTTACAGCTCAAGTTATCTTTGACTTATTACAACTTATACAAATAAAGCCTTCACCATCCTTGTGTTATTTTGACCCAAATGCACTTTTCTCATCAAATATCTTGCACAAAACCGTGAGAGAAATCAACAATAACTCTTCTTGAAGAAAATTAAAAAAGAATAAAGTAAAATTGAACTAAAATAACTTAAATTAACTACTCAACATGTAATCTAACTTAAATTAAAAAAACACTAAAAATATTAAAATTCAAACCTAAAATATCAAAGATTAGCTTGTTAAGTCCATAAAATGTGTTAAATAACTCTATATGATAGAGTTATCAGTAGCTAGAACATAACAAAAGATTTTCATATGTCATAAAAATTACACTTTGCAATTGTTAAAAGAATATGGCATGCTAGGTTCTAAGTCGACCAACACCATTATAGGTTATAACTATAAATTGTCTAAAACTAGTAATAAAGAATAGTTGACAAGTGCAAGCAAATTATAAGCAACTAGTGGGAAAGTTGACTTATTTGACCTGTACAAGGTCAGATATATGCTATGCAATGTAAGTATTATCACAATTTACGGATAAGCCTAGTTAATTGCATTTGCAAGCAATCTATAGAGTTTTAGAATACTAGGAAAAGGCATAAAGGTGAGGCTTGTTATTGTCAATAGGTTCCACTTTACAATTAAGAGTCTATAGTGATAGTGATTGGTCAAGGTGTCAAGATTCAAGGAAATCGACCATTAGTTACAACATTTTTTTTGGGAATTCTTTGACTAGTTGAAAATCTAAAAAGCAATGAGTAGTTGCAAGGAGTTGTACTGAAGCTGAGTGTAGAATTGCAACATGATGTGAGGTTCAACGTTTGTTATTCCTATTGAAAGACTTTGGTATTATTCATATGGAGGCATGTGAGTCATATTGTGACAATCAATTTGCTATTCACTTGTGGCACAATCTAATCTTTCATGAAAGAATTAAACACATTGAAGTGCATTGTCACCTTATAAGAAAACAAAGTTTTATCTGGTGTCATTTTACCAAAGTACATTCATACAAACTCACAAATAGCTGATTTATGTACAAAAGCCTTGTTGCCTAGTCGGTTTCAATCGTTGATTGGCAAGATGAACATGCACAATATCCATGTTCTTTTTGAGGAGGAGTATCAACAGACTACATGATTGACACGTGATAGGAAGCATGTGAGAATTGCACATGCGGGCAGTTGGAAAAGGCAAGTGAAAAGTATATGCAGGTAGTTCAAATAACCTATAAGGCGCATGAGGAGCACGTGCTGTGAGTTGGTTAAAACTTAACTAGTTGATTAGTATACTAAGTAGTTTCTATAATTAGGAGATTAATAGTTTGTATACAAATTACTAAAATTCAGTTTCTGTTAATTGAATACTGCATTCAATAAGATTAGTAGAAGAGATTGCCAAATCCTTTGTTCTTGTGTTCTTATTTTTTGGTATGATCTTTTCTTTTTCATCCTAAAATTGATACAATTCACAGTATAAACTTTTTTTGGACTCACTCTACAAGAGCGATCCACAATTCTGATTTCAAAATCATCAACTCGAATCATGCTTACCCCTATTTGATTTTAGTCTTTGTATCCGCACTATAAATCCAAGAACCAATCTATGGTCCAGAATTTTAACCGACTCTACATCGATGGTCCATGGACCCGAGTTTAAGATAGCCACCGGGGCCATATACAGACTCACCTAAATTGTGTGTGTAATATCTGTCTATCCATTCCTATAAAGGTCTAACCGCCCTAGTCCTTATCTTTAAGAGAACATTTATTACTGGTGGGTTTAAAATAATAGTTAGTTGTAAAGCAAGTGGTAATGTGATGTAGAGAATTGGTGAGATTAGAGTGAATAAATCACTATCCGAACTCGGGGACCGAAAATTACATTTAACGACTTTTAAAGTCAATTATGAAGCTTAGATGTTGATAGCGTGGGCCATTAACTGATATAATACAAAAACACCATGGTAAGGCCTGGTAAATGTATCTTACAGCTTTTCTTGATGTTTGTGTTTGTTTGGGTTCATCATATTAAATTATCAATTATAATATACAAAATCTTTCTATTTATACTTCCAGATTGGTTAGATTTGCTAAAACCAGTGTGCTGCTTTGGAAAACAAGCTGGATTTTGGAATATTATTATCATAAGTTGATGATCGAAGAACAAGTTGCTTTGTCGGAAATTAGCAAGAAATAATGAAAAAGATTAACACGTGTTTTGGTCACCATATGCGTAAGGAAACGAGGGCAAACTTATTGGATGGTGTAGGGAACAAAGAAAGAAAAGGATAAAGAAATAGTAACAGGTATCTAGTAAAGGAAGGCAGAGGAGGGGGAAGAAAGAAGGAAAAATAAAAAGGAAAAAAGAAAAGAAAACTAGTGGTCTTGCAGAAGTTGGGTGGTGGATGGCATCGCTATTTTCAGTTGGCGCCAAATAAAAGGCTCATAGGATTGAAATCAATGAAATGAATGGATGGGCAAATAAAGTCTATCCACTTCTTACACTTGCTAAGCTTATGCCTTGGCTCCCCAGCCTTCTCTTCTCTCTCTTTCTTCTGTCGGTTACTCTTTCCTTGTTTAATGTCCTCTTTTTCACTTTCACTTCGCTTTCAGAAACTCTCTCTCAGCTACCGTCTAATATCTTCATTTTCCCTGTAAGCTTTATGTCTTCTTTTCTCTTGCTTCGTTTTCCTTCCTGCTTGTTACTTGTTGGTCCAGTTAACAGTGTGTTTCTTGTTCATTGGAACAGGGGAGTTCTTTTGTTAATTTATGCTTCGGCTATAACTTGGTTTCGAGTCTATTTTTACGCGTCGGATGCTGGGGATCATTTGGGTTTGGCTATTTTCTGTTGCTATGCTGAATCCTGTTTCTAAAATTTAAAAATACAGAGTGGAAACATTGTCTTTTTTTAAAAAAATAATAATAATATGAAAATATATGATAATTTGGCTGTTTCAATACGGTGCAGGGAGGTTTAATTCCCCCAAGGTTATTCATTTCTTCATACTTTAAACCCCCCAAAAATGAATATTCTTTGGAGGATTCCAAAGTTTTCATGGACCCTTTAGTTTGTTCTCTCTTCTGGCATTTCATTTGTCTCAGCGGTTTTAAGTGAGTTTAGTACCTAAACTAGTGGCAGAACATAGATACAGAGAAACATGTAGTACATGTCAATTTTTATTCACAATCAAGCCAAGTTGCGCATAAAGTCTCTGCCATATAACTTGAACATTTGTCTCCTTTAGAAACGTTCCCTGACACCAAAATTTCTTCTCTCTGATGTAGATCTGTTGGTGTTTTATTAGAATTTATTTTTCCCATCAAATGAAACGAAATGCAATTTGTTTGTTCTTCTTTATTAGGTACACGGTAAAACAAGTTCAAAGCCTTTTTGGCATCTCCTTGCCGTTCAAGAAACTAGTTTCTTTTAAGCCTACCTCAAGTTCATGGGGTTTGGAGAAACAAAGAGTTCATCAAGCTATGGCAAGCCTCCATGGATATTCAAAGGCAGGTAAGTGTCAAACCTTGTAAAGTTTTCCATTCCTTTTATTGGATTAATCTGTTTATCCTTCTTGCCAGATTATTGAATTGTCTGAATTTCATTTTCAGTGCCTTGTATCAGCTCCATCTTGTGAAAGCTGAAACGGCTAGAACATTCATACCAAAGGAGTTTCGACTGGTTGAAGCTTTTGGGTAGTCGCATTTACCTACAAGGGTATAGGGTTGATTGTGGGGTTTCAGAATATCTGTTTTTCAGTAAACTAATCTGAGTATGCAAAATGCAGATACACACTTGGTGGTTTTTTCCTTGCCAATTATGATGACAGCCCTGCCGGGGTCTTTGATGAGGTTTCGTACTCTCCTTTGAATTAATGTTAATGATGCATTAAGTTGTTGAATCATTTTCTGCTAATCGCATTAGCTCATTAGCCTCTGCTTGGAAGTTGATTGTTTGCAATGTTCTAGTTTATTGAACATGGAATAACAGACAAGCTTAAATAAATTGATCACCTGCTGAGTTACTGTTTCTTTGCCAGCTTGTGGTGGTCGCAGGAATTGTGTGGAATCCCCCAACATCTTGCGCGTATGTTTGCCGTCATCTCTCTTGTTTATATTGATTAATACTAGTTAATTATCATATATATTCGAGGAAATGCATTACCATTTGAGTAAAATTGCGTGGCCTTAACCCTTTACAAGTCAGGGCACTTCTTAAGGGAAGTTCGGTTCCGAGTAATCATGTATCTGTTCCATGAGGGTTTGGCTTGAGCTAGTTAAAGGGGTGGGCTACAGAAATTAGATGGTACCCACCACACAATTGTGTTTAACTTTATGAGCTAATATGTTGGTCAGTCAACTTTATAACTTGAATGTCTTATAACTATTTATTAAATTATGCAATCATTCATATTTCTGTTCATTAGTTTATGCTGCCAAAGAAATCGTACAGGGTTATTAGTCACATTTGCAATAGTGTCAAGTACCTTCCCTAAGTGGCCTAAGCAAATGGCCAAGTTGCCATTTTCTGAAATAGGCGTCTGATTCATGCATCGAGAAGAGAAGCACTTTACACAGCTTGAATCACCTAATTTCCACTCAGTGAACCTAATAGGTCTGCTCACATAGTTAAGCTACTTGTTTCCTGCCACAATTACAGTGATGATCTAAAGGAGAAGTCAATACAGTTGTATTAGACGCATTGGATGGACTGTCAAATTACCATTCTTTTTTTATGCTCTCCCTTCTTCCTTTTTCTCCTTTTTTTTTTTTATTCAATTTTCTTTCAACTAGTTATCTCCTCCTCTTGTTCTTATTTCTAATGTAAACTTCAACAGATGGGCAGCTAGGGTTCTTGTGAACAGTGAAGAAGCTTGCCATCATGGACGAAAGGTAAGCCACGAAACTTTCAGCTTTTACTTATTTTGGAGAAGATCTTGACTGAATTTGCAAAATATATTGGGGCAAAACTTAGAATAGGATAACTTTCGAGTATGGTCTTTTCAGAACCAAAACCAGAAATCTCGCCAAATTTACTTTATTACACCCTGTAACTCTATTTCCAGACCAACATACAAGTCAGAGCATTTCTCTACCCTCGACTCCTGCAGCTTCAATGGTTCAACATATGTATGTTGCACAGGGATGCAGTACTCCGTCTACCCATGAATTAGAGGCATTTTTAAAGCAATTAATGCCAATTCCTTTCGTTCTAGTAATGGATGTGTGAACATGAGTGCATTTTTTCTTGCAGGATGTAGGGCTTCCAAGTCAGGTAGCCAGATTTTCAAAGGTACTACTCTCATTCTGACAGTTTCTTTTTTATTTTTTAACTTGGGAGAAGGGGGTTTTTTGAGTGAGAAGATCATGGATCAACTATTGAGCCAAATGCTGGGAGATGAAGGTCAAATCTTCTTTAATTGAGGTTCCTTTTACCATATTGATTAGATAATCATCCTACCTCTACAAGATAGACTCAAAGATACAATTGCACCATGATATTAGCAGCAGATGATTTATGAAACTTCATTTCACTTTGCAATGGAGCCTTTGAGATATTGCAAGGTCACAGGGAATATGGTAGATTACAATAAAAACAGACATTTTCATGTCCTTTTGTTTTTTATCGGGTTTATCATTCAGACACTTTCATGTTGTATGTGTGTCTGTTTGAACAGAGAATTACACCAGTTCCAAGACAAAGAAAGGGTAATTTTGGTGGCTTCCTAAACCGGATTGGTATGGGCACTACTATCCATCACTCAAAAGATTGCATGGACGTTCAGGTAGCCGAAGTTGTGGGTCAAGCTTCAGCAGATATCTGCAGTATCAAACTTATAACTGATGGTGAATTCATCGTACTGATTGTTTTAATTAGTTCAGAGTTCAGAGTGATTCTGTCCCTTTGATGTGATTAACGTTCATACTATTTGGTGTTCTATCTCCTAATACAATATCCAGGGCGATAACGAAATAGTGATATGTAATTACTTGTATATTTCATCTTGCTATAGATTTTAATACATTCATGCCAACCACCTAAGTTCAAACATAAGGTAACCTAAACAAGAGTTTAACTTGTAACATAATCCACACAGGACCATAGAGCAGGGAGGCGACTTTACCATATCAAGGCATGCTCTGCAATCTTAATGTGCATTTGCATCACTTGTCTCTGGAACAAGCTTTAGGTTTGTCAGGCGTGTCTTCAGAACTGATTTCCCGGGATATTGCAACATTTTCTTGTAGTTACTTATGATTTTTGCTAGAACAACTTCTTTCTTGATAGCTATGCTCCTACTTTCTACAACGGCCCTCCCAGTTCTTGGGCTTCGCCCCAAGTGAAGCAATGCATTATCTTGTGAATGACTTAAAATCACTGCAAGAGAATGAATTTCTCCTCTCTTCTCTTGCATCTAGAATTAATACTTGTGTGGTAAATTTTATTGTATTTTCTGTTGATAATCTTGGTGATTGCAGTGCCAACACCGAGATTCAACAAATGGATGGGCCCATCGATCACAATGTCACTTCCAAGCTTTAGGTAAATTCCTACATGATTTATATCTTATGACTTTCCACTTTGACGTAGATGGTAATTTTATGTCGTGAAATTGCAGTGGTCAGACAGAATATAATCCCAACCTTTTGAAGTATTCTTGCCGTATTACCTGCAGGTATTTTCAGACATTTTCTTACCCCGACTATTACTTTTCAATACTGCCCAGAACCCCTCCCCTCCCTTGGTTTTTTCTTTCAGCATGCTACATTCTCTAACATGTATTACATGGCGAAATAAAAGATCTAACGTATAGGAAGAGCAACAAGGTTAAGTGATATATTATGAAAGACACTAAAACATTGGGGTTGACACTAAGTCACCAACTGGAGTAACCTAAACAGATGACCATTGTACTAAATCACCTTGTAGCCATTCCTGAAGCAAAAATCTCCAGCGCATTTCTTTCTATGGTTTTCACACTTTTCTTCTGCCTTGATGATTATGTCATGAACATTTAGAGCTCAAAAGTTTGCTGTCACATCTCATGTATATCCCTTGTGTAATTGATGTTCTTGCTACATACCTCTTGCTGACTGGAAAATGAGAAAATTATAGACTTAGAGGTGTTTCTTATTCTCCAAATGCAAGAATATACTTTCTGAAAGCATCTTCTGAATATTTTCCGTGATAGAGTACGAGCAGTGCGGCCAGCGAAAGTATCAGGGCCATCACCTCTAAAGGACAGAGACTGTGATTTGGAAACTACAGATTTTACACCTGATGAACCTGTAGACAATGGAAGAAACCTCAGCATATCCGTTTTGTTATCAAAGCCTATACTAGCTTTGGAGTTCAATTGCTTGGACATGCAGGTCGAAGCCCCCATCATAGTCTCCAACGACTCTACAAGCTCTTTACGAGCTGCTTGAGCATCTGGCTCTTTTGTTGGTCATTTCGACACAAAATAAAATTCTTTCCTCCAGGCTGCCTCCGTGTTTTCTGATTCTATACGTGAATTTTTCCCTTTTTTTTTTTTTTTTTGGTTTTTGCATTCAGGAAATGATTCCCCCATGCTGCTAAGTGAAATCACTTAAATACCCCACAAGAGATATTAAAGTTCCAGAACACTTCGTTTTTTCCTTTACTTGAGATCTTTACAAATATTTTCTACATCCAGTAAGAAACCAAGGAACAAACAAACAAATGCAATTTTCATATTCAGACGGTTAAAAATGGTCTTCAGCAATCAAACTCTACTTACAAGCTCAATCCGTATTCTCAAATCCAAGAACTGTCAGCAGATCAAAACGCTTCTGGTAGTGGCCGGCCTTCCAAAAATGCCTTGAACAGGACAAGTGATCTCTCCGGCTGTGAGAATGGGGCTTCATGAGATGCTCCTCTAATGGTGGCAAAGGATAGGATATTACCATAAACTTGAGTCCAGCCACCGACCTGCAAGGCAAAAACAGAAATTATCATTCGCAGATTGTAATAAAACCATAATATTACTAGTAACCTCCATCGAGATTTACCTGCTGCCCCTCAAACCAAACTCGGTAAGTCACAGTGGTTTTCAGACCGAATTCCTTTGCCAGTCGATTAACTAATGTTCGACTTCCGGTCAATGGGATGACAGAATCTTGATCCCCACTATATTTCAAAACGTATGTTATGAGTACTACAATCAGCCAAATAAATATCACATGCTCCGTATTTTCAGAAATCGTGAAGGAACTATTAAGGTAAGGATCATTTACCTGTATACCATGACTGGAATTCCGGCCTTCACGAGTCTGCCAACAATAGTGATTGTGGGTATTTCCAGATCAAGAAATTCATAATCTAGGACACTGATTGACAGAATACAAGGGAAAATAGTTAGGCTACTATATCAAACAACTCACCATTTGCTCAAGGCCCCAAATCTGAATAAGGTACGCAGAAAATCTGAATTTCATATTATTTTTGTTCAATGAGTTAAAAGATGTATAAATTTTTAAGTATCTGAATATTAAAAAAATTCTGACCAAAAAAAATAAAAACAATAATTATTGGATATAAATTTTGCAGAAGAGAATTACTTGCTGCAAACAGCCCATTTACGGACTCCTACCAGACGTGCATGAAGAGCCTTTTGCACATCTTGCCTGTTTAGGTAATTAGCTGTTTCGTCTTCTACACAAACATCTATAGTTTCACCAACTTGCTGTGGGACAAAGAAAACCAGAGAAAACAAGTCCAAGTTAGAACATAGCAAAGACTGGAAAATACAAAATGAAGAACACATTCTACTTTACGAAACTTATAGAATTTACACTCACTTGGGGAGTAAGGACTTTGGATTGTGAGAGCATTGATGATATACAGACATCGAGGGTAACATCATACTTGTCAACAAACCTGCTAGTTTCGGTACTAACTTGGCTCATCACTCTTGAACAAATAGGAGAAACGGCTTCTCTGTAATACTCACTAACATATCGCGAGTAATTACAGGAAGTGGTGAACATTTTGTACGTAGAATCAGATATCAATCCGTGAGACCAGAAGAATTCAGCCCTCGAATTGAAATCAATAGCAAATTCTAAAACAGGATTCCCCAGCTGCAATAAATTGGAGCAAATAGGCACAGGTTTTATAGATCCTCCTCTGTACAAACAAACAAAGAGAAAAAGATTGGAGTATGCTTGTATAACTACTTACAGCAATTCCTTTCAAATTGAACAGCTTATCCTTCCTATTAAACTGAAGCATAAGTTCGGCCAGCTGGGGGATATAATGACCTAGTTTGAGACATAATAAGTGCTGATTCATGTTAAATCCTGGATAGAAAAAGAATTAATCTGTTTTGAGTAGCAAAAGATACCAGCATAGCTTTCCCCTGTAATGAACAGGCTTCTATTCCTGTACTGAGGGAATTTGAGGAACCAATTTTGCATAAAAACCAGATTGTCCCTGGCTGCAATAAGAAAGAGAGACAAAGTTTGAAAGATGAAAAGTAGCCTGGAAAGGTTAACTTTTGTCAGATCAGAAGGAAAAAAAACAAAACAAGAACAGTAAGCATTAAACATGGCATTACTGTAAAGTGAAAGACAAAAACACACGGCATCAGAACATTATGAAATATTCTCGGAACCTTTGCGTGGAAAGAACTCAAAAAAGAGAGGGAAAAAAGAAAGATTAAACAAAAAGAATTAAAGGGAGAACTGGGGAGAGGAAAGAGAGACTCATTTTTTTTAAAAAAAAAGAAGTTGGCTCTGAATATTCGGTATAGAAAATCTGTTTCTCTTGCAACCCAAAATTTCTCGCTTGCCAACATTGAATGTAGAGTTTATACTCTTTTTTCTTTTTATGAAATTGATTAAACATTAGAATTTAACAGATTAGGGAGACTTACCAGTGATCCTGTCATCCACACCCTCATAAGAGGAGGTGTCTGTGGAATAAGAGAACCCAACTCCAATCGGGGCCTCCAAATACAACATATTGGCTTCTGCAAAAGAATGAGAATGCTAAAAATCAAGTTGTTGAGTGCATTTCTATATATTACATCAACCAATCAAAAGGATTTTCAGCGGACTATTCCGTACGGGCTATGGTCTCAATAAAATAAAAGTTTCAAACTTCAATTTCCGGAATAAAAGCTGGAGGTCTTATTTCCATTTTTCAGTAAAATTCGAGACCTTGTTTGGGTATTATCCCATGAACATATACCTCTGTTCCAGCTATATTCGTTCTTGACCAGCACTTCCCCGCTAGGCCTAAATGGCCCGTTCTCAGAAAATGCTCCAACCCCCAATGAAGAGCAGCCAGGTCCTATACTTCACAGCACAAAAGTCAGAAACACAGAAATCAATTACATACGTATGTAAGAACATTGTATAAGAAAAACTAGTGAGAGACCTCCGTTGAGCCATAGGACAAGAGGCTTGGAAGCTGGATCTACTTCAGCTTCAGCAAAGTAGTAAAACAAAGCTCTCTGTTTTTTCTCATCAACGGTCACATAACCCGAGTACTGTTGGAACCCGACATTGGGTTGACCCGGCAACTGAGTAATCCGATCAAACAGAGCTAGAGAACATTCCACTTGAACACAAAACCAAACCTCAAGTACAATGAAACCCAATGCCACTGTTCTCCATGGTAATAAAAGCATGGTGTTTTCTTCTTTTTTTTCCAGATAAGAGAGCAAAGAAACCCAGAGAGAGAGAAGAAAAGACAGTTGTAGCTCGATGGTGCGCAGTGGGGGTGCATTTTATAAAGAGGGTCATGTTCTTTTGCTACTATTCTATTACATCTATTAATATAATAATATATAATACAGATATAGTGTAATTCTTTAATAAAATCTTGAAAGACTCAAGGAGCTGAAACAGATGCGTGTTGGGTCATTCAGTTTTCCGTCTTTCTTTTATCTTTGAGATGGTTTGAGTTAGAGCTTTGGATATGCTGACCAGGACTAAGTCAGCAAATGGCAAGGTAACTGTTACTGAACAAATGAAAAGACAGAATGTGCTTTTTAAAAGCCCTCTTTGACGGGTGATGACATTTGCTCACGGAAGTTACCAGGCTTACACAGCACTATCATTTTTGTTTTGTTCTTTAGTGGTAGAGACTATCATTCATTCTAGCAAATAAGCCAAAAAATACTTTGTACTAATGAGCTTTGGCTTGGTTACAGGATACAGCGTAAGCCTGTGTTTGCGTTCCGGGCAAAAGGAGCTTTACAGCAATGCTTTGCCACTGTCTACTTTTTGAGTATTTTTTCCCATTTGCATCTTTTCCTCTTTAAAAGAAAAGTGAATGTCACAGCAGGTGTGTAATTATTTTCCCGGAGAAAAATTTTACTAGAAAACGATTCTATTTTCAGAGAAAAATCAAGGGCAGATGTGAAGAATCATGATTGGTAGAGAAACCAATTTTTTTTTAATCTTTTTTGTTTTCCTAGGAGAATTTACTTGAGTGCTTCAGCCCGGATTATATGTACAAGCACAGACCGCATCTCCCTAAAAATTTCTTCCGGTGTGTGATCTTTTATTATGACGTTGTGAAGTGTAAAAGATTTTGATATTCCATGAGTTCATCTCATATCACATCGGTTAATATAAGCCTCGCAAGCAATCGATTTTATATTTATAAAATATTACATTAATTAATTATATTTAATATTAAATATATTATAAATATTTTTTATAATATATAAAATATTTTTTTATTTATAAAGAGTTGTGAGAGACTTATATAGATAAAGTTCTTGAAATATAATGATCTTGTAAAAAAATTATAAAAATTATAATTAAGAAATTCTTATGTATCATAACGTTGTTCTTAAATATGTTCATGATCATTGTATTGTCAAGAATGAGGACATTAACAATACTTAAAGATTAGTACATGCTAAACTTCTTTATTTTAGAAGTAAGCAATTGATTTCATAGATTGAAGTATATGATATATTTGGAGATAGTATGTGAGTACTTGTTATAGAACAAGTTCACTAAACATAACCCGCTATGAGAGTTTCGTTTGATATTTCACTTAAGTGTTTATAAAAATACTCTCATATGTCAGTAGTGTAAGTAATCCTTAGACTTGTGATATCAGGTTATCTTGTATGTGAATTGTTATGTTTTGATTTTACCTTTACGGGTTTAAAAATGATCAAATACTTAAATAAGATGCTTTTGGCATGGCATGAAGCATACGAAGATAAATAAGTAGGTTAGAAAAAATTCATCACCCCAAGTGATTCGAAGGAGACATATCTCATTTGGTATTTGCTTATATTGATTAAAAGTCCTTGATCAAAGCAATAATATGAATAAATTAAAAAGTAAACACAGAGCCAAGCTTTCTATCTATCTGGGGTATATGATGAAAGGATCAGATTACATACACTAAAAAGTTAGTCAAATTATATTGACTCTCCTAACATTTGAGTGGTCATAATATATTGCTAGATGCCACCATGATCTATAAATATAAATATAAATATAAATTCTTAATTGAATCAATTTATATTTATTGCCAACATGTTGGGAACTTAATAGGTCACACACATAAGGTGCATTATCGAAATTAATTTAAGTTCAATTGAATGTGATCTAATTGATTTTATAGAGGCTTAATCTAATTAAGTACTGGGCTAAATCAAATATGATTTGATGGAGTATTAAATAAAGGCTCAATTAACCTAAGACATTTTATAACCCTTGTTGAATATAAAAGAAGTCAATTCACTCTAAAAAAAATCCCTTAACCGCCTCTTGAATATATAGAATAGTTCCATTTTACTTTCTCATGTGTTCACGGCTAAAAAGAGATAAACACAAAAGAAGTTCAAAAAGTTGAGAGTTTGCTAGCATAAATTTTGACTTAGAGATTTACACACTCTAAGTGAAGAGATTTCAACAAATTACTGTGTAAATCACCATTAGAGGTAGGACAACTATGCTACTATAATTTGAGAAGTCTTAGTTGGTATACAAAAGTTGAAATGAAAAACCAATGAGGACTTCACCAAAGAAAGTAAATTTTCGGGTATGTCAAAATTTCTTTTATAGTTTTTTTAAATTAGTTTCAATTAAAGTGATCCATGACTCAAGAGATTAAAATTTTAATAATATTTCATTGCATATGAATTATCTTAATATAATTTAAATCTCCAACAATAACTGCATGAATATGGAGGTGATGAAATCTTTCAAGTGGTTTACCCTAACCATCTTAGTTCAAACTTTTGAGAGAGAAAACTGTGCTCAGTAGCCCTCTTGGCCCCCATGTTTCAAGGTATCAAGCCCAAAATTTACTGCATTTGTCCTCGAACTGGGGTTACACTTTTGCTTGAGTGCCTCAAGTAAAATGGCACCAGTGGCGCTTTCGCTTTGAAAGCATTTCCAATTTGCCGTTGAGGCCGAGGCCAGAATCTGATCTATTGTTAATGTGCTTTGCTTTCATTGACCTGTCCTAGAAGTCTTTTCGATTTGTCTGACCTTTCTTGGTGTAAAGAGTCTTTTCTTGGCACACAAGCCAGCAACTTCGCCACTCTCAATCTCTTGTGATTTTTACATGGGGCCTATTCCTATATGTGGGCAAAGAAAACTGGGCATTGAGCAAAAGTGGAGTGATGGCAGAAGGCATTTATAAAAAGCATGTTCGCTCTGATTTCTCAGAAATATGCTTTTGCAAATGGTTAGTAAGTATTTCCTTGTTTTTTTCCTGTTTTGGGGATGTGTCATCGACCATGTTGTACTAGGGAGAATTAAAGAAGGTAGAGCAATTTGAACCCTAAACCTGCAAGTGTACAATTCTCCATGGCCAATGCTCAAAGATTCATTCTGTCGAGGGACTTTGAACACTGATTGTGACCAGGTTAATGGCATCTGAAAGCGTGGTGAGGGCACGCATAAGTTGAAAATCTTGAAGAAAATGAATGGCGTATAGACTATGATTCATATATTCAATACTTGTTTGATGGAGTATCCTTGATGTCCAAAATTCTACCTTCTTCTGAATATCTCTCAATTAAAGTAAAACACACGAGATATTCTTTTTTGGTAGGGGAAAGCGACATTTGGGCCTTTTTCCTCTTAGTTTCTTTTATGAAATTGCTTACTACACAAATCCTAACTATGCTTTAATTAATTTACTTGCAGGCGGAAGTCTTTCGCTAATTGACAAGAAAAAATCAAACTTGAGACCTTCTTATTCAGGCAATGCTTCCACCATTTGTAGCCAGGCAAAAGTAAACATCATTTCGTAGGAAATATTTAAAATTTTTTTTAGGTGTTTCACAGTAGGAAAGCACAAGGCGTGGAGGTTACAAGTATGCCCTTGAATACTAATTTTATTATTTTTTATTAAATAAATAAGTTCCTATATTAATTATTATTTTACATATATTATATTTTAATAGATCTTTATTTACTTTATCTCATACAAGATATAATCATAAATGTATTATTTGGTGATATTGTAGAAGAGTTATGTTAATAATTGATGAACTACTAAGCAATAAATTATTCCTTATTTACCAAATTTGTTTTAGACTATAAATGTAACAAAATGTTTAAAGTTTACACTGTTATATCTCTATAAAAGAAAAATAAAATGTTTTAATCCCATCATTGAAATTGTGGTTTTAAAGCAAACAAGTAGATGTGTGTGAAACACATATATTAACAGAATCCAAGTAAAGAGTACCATATAAATTTATTACTTTTAATAACTAAACAGTAGCTTAGCTCTATACAATTCACTAATTGTTTTTAAGCTTGAGCAGTTAATATATTTTATTTAGTATCTATGTGATGTTGGATTATGTATACCCTAGTATGTTGGATTATGTATGTACTAAATTAATAGACTGAAAGCTTAACAAAGGTTCACCATTCTCTATTCAAAAAAATATTTAAATGATTTTCATAACTTAAGAAATTTGGCTACTGTGCTTTCTAAAATTCTTTTAGATTATATTATTTAACTAATATTATATAATAAATATTGTTGAATGAAAATATTTTTAAAATTTTAATGAGAATGAAAATCATGAATGGATATTACATGGGATGGATTGATATGAGTACAAAAATTATTTATTTATAAATCTTATGAGGAATATGGTATGATGAAGGAATTGATTAGTAAAGATCGCAACGAGAGGAAATCTATAAATAATTTTTTTTCTACAAAAGTAAGTTGAATGTGTTGATAGATATAATTACAATTAGTGAGTAAATAAGGTTTTTTTAATAAATTTAAAAAATTAAATTAAATTAGAAAAAGGTTTAAATGAAATATGAGTTATGAACTTGAAATATTTCGTTGAAAAATTTTCATTAAAAATCTGTCGAAAAAAATCAAATTAAATTTTCGTCAGAATTTTGTTGAAAATTTTCAATAAAAAATTTTAACAAAATTTTTTTTATAAAAAGAAATCAATTTTCTTGAAGTGTTTGATGACATGAACTTGAACTCATAGTTGTAAATAGATCTATAAAGATCCATGCATACTCTTCTTTTAAGATTTTCTACATATTTGGTATAAATAGGTAAAGATTGTTACTTAAACAGTTATTGGAATTATTTAGTAACAAAATTCAAAATACTAGAAATAGAAGAAGCGTTAATATTTTTAGAAACTAGACATTTGAATTGTTTGTGCAATAATTTTTTTTTATTTTATAAAATTTTCGTGAAAGGTTCTCGGTTTTTATCATTAATAATACTAATAATAATAATTTTAGTTA